TTCTTCTACTATTTGAGACATTAGAACCATCAAATGTTAATTACTCATTTAAGAAACATCTGATGACTGTGCTCAATATCTGGCCACATTTTAATTTTTAACCTCATGGCAGCCAAAATATAAATGATTCCAATCATACTGTTGGCAATTCTGTACTAAGGGTTAGTATTCTGATTTTCTTATTTGTAAAAACCTTGACTTCTGCAATATTGGCTGATATATTGATCTGAATGAATTTTTTTAATGTTAAAATGATGAATTATTCCCGTTTTTACCACAGCAAACTTGTGTATGGACCATGTCCTTGGAATCATTCATGAGCAATCCTTTGTTTTACATATTAAAGTAAAGAAACTTGACTTCTCTGTGTACTAATACTGATCAAATGTAAATGTTCAACTGCCCTTGATTCAACTTTTCCTGGATATAAACTACTAAACTTAAGAAACAATGAAAAGGTTTCTGCTGCACATTAAACAACTGCCATACCATATTTACTTTATTGCATATAGTCAAACTCCTGCTGAGGCCTTCCTCCTCCCAAAGTGCAGTGGGACTCGGGGACACAAAGGAGACGCCTTTCTGCAACGTTACAGAGGACATTTCCATCTCCGACCCCAGGAAAGGTCTGTGTTTCTCCCTCTGTTTGGTGTTTGTTGGTGTCAGGCATATAATTTATTGTTTTATGAATAAACAAACAGCGCAGGCTTGTGTGGTTGCTGAGCTTATTGTTATGCGAGTCATCGTGGTGGATCATGGTTCACCTCTGAAGTGATTTTTAGTTGAACAGTAACAATATTAACATTCATTAGCTGCTTCTTGTTGCCTTTTGTTCACTCTTGAGAGATGCCCATTGACTGACACTAAAACATCACACATAATGATGTGTTTGTATTGACTACATTAGCATAGATGGTCATGTTTTTCTCTTAATCATTTCCCACTCATAGAAGCGGTTCGTTATTATCATTACTCTTGACTGAGAGCTTGTCTCTGGAGGGATTTTCAATCAATCAGGTTCAGTGTTTTACAGAATCAGCCCAGAGAACTCCCTCCTGGAGATCCAGCTGGGGAAGCTGCCCACCTGGCTGCCTGTGTGTTACGAGAGGTGGAACTCTTCGCTGGGAACGCTGGTCTGCAGACAACTGGGTTATCTGAGGTTTGCTCTCCTGACAGGATCACACACCACCTCAGCCCTCTGCACCAACTGAGACCTGGGCGCCTACTCACTTGCTATCTTATAGTTTAATATCAGCTTGCTTTGTCAAGGCTGAAAGCTCTGCTTATTTATGGTCTGCTCATACCTCATTTGCAATCTTGCTTCACATCTTGTGAGTCTGAATTATCTTAATATTCACTCCCACTCATTGTGCATATGTTCTGTTACCAGACTGACCAAGCATAAAGGAGTGAATCTAACAGATATCGGGCCAAACTATACGGATGGCTTTATACAAATTACCTCGGAGCACAAGAGCAGCCTGGAGAATATGTGGCAATTCAGGTAAAGCAATTTGTCTGAGTACATCTCCTCATAACGATGGAGAGAAAACTGTGGCTACTAACACATTAATTATGCATCATTAGTTACCCAATTTATTTTCATTTAGGGGGAGCTGTGTCACAGGGAAGGTTATCGCTTTGCAATGTTTTGGTGAGCAAATTAAACTTAACTTTTTGTTTGACTTTGCAGATAACACAAAGCCCTCTAGGTCTTACAAGTCTTATATCAGTGGCAGAGAAAGTGATTGATGCCACTTGCTGCAGCACTTTCTCACCAATCTCACTTGGCTTTTTGATAAATGGATCTCTGTTTAGAGTGCGGGACAAGAGCAAAGTTGCCCAGGATAATTGGGGGAGTCGAGGCAACGCTGGGCAGGTGGCCGTGGCAGGTCAGCCTCTACAACAGCAACCGTCACACCTGTGGAGGCTCCATCATCACCAGTCAATGGGTAGTCACAGCTGCCCATTGTGTGCACAAGTAAGACTTCAGGCTGTATGAGCATTAAAGGTCATAGGTGCAGCATCTGTGAGCGGGAACAATCTGCCATTAACATCTGCATCCCACTGGACGCATGACAATTCTTTCTTATCGGTATCTGTCGCCGCTTCTCTGTTGTCAAATTTTAGCTACAGGCTGCCTCAGGTTTCCAGCTGGGTGGTCTATGCCGGCATTGTCACGCGCAGCTCGGCTAAAATGGCTCAGCACACAGGATACGCTGTGGAGAAGATCATCTACAACAAGAACTACAACCACAGGAGCCACGACAGTGACATAGCCCTGCTAAAATTGCGGACGCCACTGAATTTCTCAGGTCAGTGTGAGAACCTCCTCACAAGCTTTGCACACAACAAAGGACTTGAGATTACAGCACTGCAAAACTGACATGAGTACAAAAACAATCTTAATACTATGGTCTGTTTACAATTTTACTGAAATATGCCTTTATAAAACGTTTATAGTGACTGTTTTCACTATAATGCACTCAGTAAAGCACATGCTGTATATAAATCCAACAAGGCCCAACAAATGGACAAGCTGCACCAATTTGCACACATTCATAAATATCAGTGTAACAGATTATTTTCCCATCAAGAACCATTAATTATTATTCCCGGTGAAATAAGTGAAAATGTCAAAAAAGACACTATCATCTGAGTCTGCACCAAAATTGAATGGTTTCTTTCTAAACCCATATCACATCCTTCCATCAAGTTTTGAGATAATCCGGCGACCAGTAGTATTTGTGTAACCCGGGAAACTAACAAACACAGGTAACAACATAATGTCCTTGGCGGAGGTAATTACTAATCATTGCCACAGGCATAGGGTTTATTATCCACTGTTACCTTAATGACACAATTGTATAAATTATGAATCAAAAGGATAAAGAATTTCACATCACAAATCCCTCTCTGCAACTACACCATTGAATTAAACTGATTCTTTACACAAGTTCAAATGTAGGCATACAATGTGAACAAAGTTTAAAGATTCCCTGCAGACATGTTTAATTAACTATCCTGCTCAAGTGATAATTTTGGTCAAATAAGTTTTTTCCGAGTCAAATTATCTTGTAAAAAACATCATCTTAATATTACATCTATTTCTCCCTCATAGTAAAATCCAGTATCTTGAAATGTGCAAATAATTTTAATTTCCAAAACTGAACTACTGGATGATGTCTCGTGTTTAAAGTCTCTGAGTGTATGCATAGCGAAGGTTTGCTGTTTCCACATCACACAACTGAAAGTTACACACTGGACCACGATCAGCTTCCACGTCATGAATCATTCTTGTTTGTACACGTCTTAAACTGAGATTTCCGGTGAACTTTGAGAAACATTCCCCTCTCAGCGGATGAATGTGAAAAACAGTGTTCGAGTGTCAAACTCTGCACATAAATCATTCTGCACAGTGAAGCTCAAATTTCCAGGGGACGCAGCCATAAGCAAACACATTTCTGAGTGAAGGGGGACTTAAGGGCCCTACTTAAAGCTGACTTGTGAACCTGACGGTATTCAGAGAAGAAGGTAAACTTGAGGGCGAACGCAAGACGAATACACAACAGGACAAAAACGTAGCATGTGCATGTCTCAGAAACAGCCTGGAACAAAGGCCTCAGAGACAGAATGTCAATAGAAAAACAAGTTATTCCAAATTGTTGCGTTACAATCTGTTGGAAGAATTTAAATATAAAAAGGCTAAACATATTAATTTCCCCCTTTTAACTAGATACAATCAGGCCAGTCTGCTTGCCTCAGTACGACTATGATCTTCCAGGAGGGACACAGTGCTGGATTTCTGGATGGGGATACACACAACCTGACAGTGGTAAGATGCTGCTGCGGCGCTCCAAATCAAATTTACAACTGCACGGCTAACTGTATTGACAGAGGAGCCTTAAATATCTTTTCTCTCTCAGTTCACTCACCTGACACCCTAAAAGAGGCACCAGTTCCCATAATTAGCACAAAGAAGTGTAACAGCTCCTGCATGTACAATGGAGTGATCACGTCACGGATGCTTTGTGCCGGATACACAGAGGGAAAAGTGGATGCATGTCAGGTCAGATGTATGTTTTGAACACGACCCTGCAGAGTTGAAGATTCATCCTCTTTTCTGATTGGCTGACAATGGAATGGTCAACATATTGAAAACTAGTTCCGTCTATAATGAACAGTGTGTGTTTACCTAACTAGGGAGACAGTGGGGGTCCCCTGGTTTGCCAGGATGAAAATATGTGGAGGCTGGTAGGGGTCGTCAGCTGGGGGACAGGATGTGCAGAGCCCAACCATCCAGGAGTTTACACCAAAGTAACTGAATTCTTGGAATGGATCTACAACATGATTGAGGTAAAGAGAATTTTGGGAATTTCTGTCGTAGAAATCAATCATAATCCAATAACCAATCTAATTTTGATGCTACATTTTGCTGATACTGTCGTTTCATTACTTTAAAACCCTTTGGAATACAGCGTTTATCTTCAAATCCCTCTTTTTACACAAGACATTATTTCTTACACCACTGCAGAAACACCACAGAGCTCTAGAATTTCACACACAGACATAAACGTGATTCTTCTACCATTGGCAGTTGAGATTGAATGTTCTTCACAATGGAATATAATTACTGTTTATTTTATTTATTTGTTTAACACTGACTGCCAATAATGACTGTTTGTCTTTGCAGAATTACTGAGGAGAGCTCCTGATGCACGAAGGATGCTGCTGATGTTACTGTTTGCCACGCTGGGAAAATGACAGTTCACATTTATACTTTAAGTGTCTGTGACATGATGTACACATAGAGACAGAGTGGACAAATCCACATGCATTTTTACGTTGTATGTTTCATGTACTGAATATAAATTAAGCCTCTTACTCAACTGTGTCGTGTCATTGATATTTTTGAACTACAGTTCTCCTTTGGACCGCTAGGTGACATCCGCAGAACACTTCCTGTATACACCATCTCGTCTCCATAGCAACCAACAACATTACCCAAGTAGTAGCTAGCTCGTTACACGCGTGCTAATGCTCTATAATATCTAATATCTAGACACTTATATTTATATATATATTTGCGTTAACTAAGCTAGCAAGCGGCTACTTAGCGTTAGTGTGTGCTGCCTCCACAGTGTTTGGAGATTTTACCTTTAAACATGTCCGGCCCAGAGGATGTTCTGCAGCAGGTCTCCCAGCTGTGGTCCATGATGGACGAGCTTTCCCTGAGTGACCCCGCAGCTTACCGCAGGTTCATCCACACTCAGCTGGAGGAGGGAGCCGGGTTCACTTCACCGCCGGAGCTCGACTCGTGCCTGTGCGCTGAAGTACTGGTGAGCGGTTCTGTCAGGGAGCAGCTCGACATCTTTAAACTCGTCAGGTTTACTTGACAGAAGTTCAGAAGTTCGTATGAAGCATGTCTTCCTGACACGTGACGTCAGAGCGGGAGCACTAAGTGTGTCCCGTTAATGAGGGCCCGGTGTGCACAGGTGTTACACTCAAACCCGGACCCACAGGTTCTGTGACCTCATGAGAAAGTTCCGGTATTTTTCAAACAAAACATTTTAAACGTTTATTTTACTTTATATTTTCATATCATCATCATACTTATATTATATTTAATTTTGAAAGTGCAGTACTATTAGTGAGGATGCTTTTAAAAATACCTTTTTTTCTTCATTTTATTTTATTGTGTTCATTATACACAAACTGCAGTTAACAGAAAACCAAACCTACTTCTTAACAAAGCATCTTAGAGAACAATCAATCAATATAATTTTATCTGTATAGCCCATATTCACAATTCATAATTTGTCTCATAGGGCTTAAGAAGGTGCAAAACCCCTATCAACAGGAAATAAAACCATAGAAACCTCAGAGACACGTTAGGATCCTTCTCCCAGGAGGGACAGATGTGCAATAGATGCAGCGTGTAACTCAACACATCATCAATATAACAGTATTTACAACAGTGATTTGAAGAAACAGTCTGTGTAAGTGTGTCCATGTTAAAAGTACTTATATATAAGAAAATGTCTGATAGAGATGAAGGGATATGTTGAGACACAACAACCCAACGATCCACAATCCATCATCATGATGCACCATCATGATCCACGATCAGCTGCCACAACGATCTTGTCTCAGTTCCTCTGTGGATTTCTTGTCTGACTCAGTGTCTTCTGCCTCTTCGTATAATCCCAGACTCCATGATGTTGAGAGCAGCATAATAATCCCTAATGAAACTTGATTAAAGATGATGACTGTTTTATTACGAGGATGACACATTTGCACCGAGTAAAATGAGGCATAAAGTCAATTATTATTAATATTATGGATCCAGAGGGAGGGTCCGTGGATATGCTTGCCACTTGGACACAAGTCATGGGCTAATCACCCCCTGCTGAGGGGTCATCAAAGACCCTAAACACCTTATGTCCCCCAATTCATCCCTGAAAATGTACCAATTGCTATATAGGCACCAGAATGTTTTTTAATTGTGTAATTCAGTGAGGGTGTTCAAAGTGACAATGGTCAATCAAGTATCTTTGTTTCTATGTACTAGGTTGGCATCTAAACACTCTTATTGATCTACAGTTGATTAATCTATATATTATTTGGTCTATAAAAGGTCAGTAAAAAGGGAAAAGGGTGAAGCATCCTGTGCTCTCAAAGCGCATATTCACTCATCATCAGTGGCAAATAAACCATAGGCTCAACCCTGTTTTTACTTGAATATTTGAGTAAAATGATGGATTATTAAAGTTGTTTGCATTTAATTTTTCATCTGTAAACTTAATTATTCCTTCCAGCATAACTGCCAACCCTTTAGATACAAAACATTTGACTTTTCCCACACATGGTGAAGCTGTCATACCTGTATCCTTTTGTAGGTTAGAGATCAGGTTATTTTACAGACAGCAAATCTTTGTCCTCCACAGGAGCCGAACAAAGGGTTGTTGTATCTCAACATATGCAGCTGGAAACGAGTGCCAGTGCGTCAGGATCCCAGCAAGCCGTTACCTATATGTGCTGGAAAACTGGAAACAGACACAAGTGAAAGTCCAGGTGAAAGACACAGCTGTGCTGCAACACAAGCTAAAGATTGGATGTGTTTCATGATATAAACAAGAAAACTACTCTTGCTGATGAATTGGATGTTTTCTCTCCTCAGGCTTGTACACTGTATTGGATGTGGCTTTAAACCCTGCAGTGCTAGAAAACAATAAGAAAGACAAAACAGCATTGTATACACTCTCCCTGAGTTTTGCCCAGCAGCAGCATGGGTTGAGGTTATCTCAGCAGTACACTGTCATCACATGTAGCCCAAAGAGTAGTCCAGAGGACCTGCACCGCCGCCTTGGGTTTCAGCAGTGGCCCAACAGCAGACAACCTGACACAGGTAGAGCAATAACTTTCACACCCTCATTCATGTTCTAACCGTTTTCCTTTACTGCTGCAGGTGCATCATCTTTTACCTAGTTGCACTGTTTCTAAAAATCCTTAGCACTCTTGTTTTTACAGCCAGTCAAACCCCAGCCGCCCTTCTGCAGCAGATCGCCTCTCTACGTTCAGGGCAACAAGATGACGAGCCGGCTGCCCGAATTATCTGTACACCCGCAGAGAACAAAAAGAAGGATCTTATCCAGGTCATCTCCAGCACTTTTGAGCAGACTCAGAAGCCAATGCACCAACTTCAGGTGAAAACTGATACAGCAGGAGTGCCTCACAGCGTGGAGCTGACAGTAGAGCTGCCAAAAGTTCACTCCGTGTCAGAGTGCCAGCTGAGAATTTCCAAGGTTAGCGGTAACACACTCCCCTGTACAAAGTTATAATGAATCCTGTGTGTGTCAGAGCATAGTTGGAACTCATTAAAAATACATAACTGGCCTGTTCTTGCTGTTGTGAAGTGCTGATTATTTTTCTTCTGCAGGATGACGTCCTATTGGAAGTGGAGGATGTTTGCTATCTGCTTCTGGACTTTCCAATAACTGTGAATGAAGACACTGCATCTGCAGTCTTTAACAAGAAGAAACGACAGCTTGCATTGAAGGTGGATGTTCTGTGACCGTTTGTTTTGATTGAGAGAGAAGCGTAGAACAAGCGCTCAGTCGTGCTTGGAATCGGCTGAGGAAACTGACACTGAACTGACCTCAAAATAAATTGCCAAAAAGAAATGAAATTTCTTCTCTGCAAATCGAAATCCTTGGCAACATGTTTACGTTTGACAAACAAGCGCTAAAAAACAAACAACAGCTGCTCTGTAAACTGGTTCTCACGTAAAATCTTAAATACTTTTCTGTTAAAAATACTGTGTTTCACTGTGTGGGTTGATCTGCAGCAGCAAATTTAATTCAACACAAAACGCATTGATTGACTTGAATGACAATCTGTGGGTTTTGTTTATTAATGTGTGGGTGTACAAGTCGAGGCGTATAATGGTTAGGAGCTGGTGTACAGTCAGTGCAGAACGCCGGGGGAATAACTGACAACAAAATGATCCATGCAGTAATTTGCCTTTATTAAAACATCACAATGGATGTGGAATAACAACAACACTATTTGGCAATCTGGAACGTGTGAAAAATGTCAGTCAGCACTGATAACAGCTTCTTTTTTTAGCTTATCCAATTAGTTATTTATTGTAAATCACCTTTTTTTTAATATAATTCAGAGTTTCAAGTTTACTGACCATTAACTTTTAGTCCCACATATTAATGTATGAGCTGCAAAAAGTGTCTGATACTCATTCTTTAAAAAATTAAAAAAAATTAAATAAACAAAAGTATCCAAATGTGAGATTCAAGTCAAATTCTTCATATGAAACATTCATTTAAAGACATTGTTTTACACTGAAATTGTATTTTAACTATTGGTCCCAGTTAACTGTGTTATTATTTCTTATGGCATCACAAGTTATTTATTTTTCTGGTCCAGTGGGAACAACTGAGGTTTGCTGTGGTGCTCTCTTGTTTTTGGGTTCTACCTCCGCTCGCCGTGGTCCTCCTCCACCCACGCCACGATCTTCCCCTCCCAGCCAGGCACGACTGCTCCGTCCTGGAATACCTGAAGAGCCAACATCAAGCATTTACACATCCAAGAGAGACTCATACACTGAACAGCACAAATGTCCACCTGGGAACTGAAAATAGCTGCTCAGTTTGACCTAATTCTCTGGGATGAAAATCAATCACCTCACCGTGTTTGAAGTACAGAACAGACACAGCTTTTTTTAGCATTTCTTTGTCTTAACCTGACATTTTACATTTGCGTGTTGAAGCTGATGTGAAATGAAGTGCTCCTCCACCTACTTCCTCTTTCACTGTGCCAAACTCTGGGTCAAGGGCCTTGAAGTGGTATCTGAAACTGCCTTGTCTGTCTATAGCGGCCTTGAAGTCTCGCAGTGTCACCTCGCCCAGCCTGTAAACACACACTGTCAGTCATGATCTGTACACACAACCACCCACAGAGGCATTAGGCCGGTCTAAGGATAAACATTTAACCAGCACAGCCACTAAAGCATCTCTAGTGAGGGTTCAAACAATAACACTGTCATATAAACCTGAAATCGATTTTCACCTTTTTGGGATGTTGATCAGAAACGGGGTGAGCGAGCGATCCGTGAAGTAGAGCACTTTGGTTGAAACGGCGGAATCCAATCCCGGGCTGCTGTGTGAGTGCGCCATTTCTAGAAATATTTAAAAACACAACAAATCATTGTTTTTCACAATCCGATTCTAAAATGGCTGTAGCCCCACTGCCAGTGAGACCTTCTCTGTACATAGCAGCATAGGCAAAATGCACAATTTGATTTGGAAGTTGCTGTGGAGATGTTGGGACGATGACAAATCCTAAACAAAGCGAGTAATTTGTTTGTCTCACTCGAGCTCGTCGGCCAGGAGTCACGGTCTGTCGGGTTGGCTCTGCGACCTGGTGATTTAAATTCCTCCTAGAAGAAGAACAAGTAAATCACGTCACACTGACAGATATCATTGTTGTTGACTCCTCATCCATCAGGTGACATGTTGCTTTGTATTTGGTGTGTGCGTGTGTGCGTGTTTACCCCTCGGTCCTGTCTGCGCTGGGTGTCAAAAGTGTGTAATCGGTCCATGAGGCTGGACATGCCCTGTTCCAGAGTGTCCAGGGTGTGATGTTGGGGATCGTGGTCAGAAAAACTGTCCCTCAAACTACGAAGTGCCTCCCTGACCAGCTGCAGCTCTTCACCCTGCAGTCACAGACTCCTGATAGTCATACACTTTCTATAAATGTAGTTTGGTGTTGATACAAAGGGAAAACAAGATGTATAAAAATACACTCATTGTCAAACAAATGAGATAATAAGTGCAATTTTAGACTCATTCATTCACGTTGAATACTTAATAATCGTTTAAATCTAGCTTAGCATCGTTGTTTTGACTCTTCCAATAAATACTGACCAAGTGCAGCATTATTTTAATTATTTGAATGTCTTGTTAATTCTTAGTATCTTATAATTTGTGCTCACTATGCCCCGCCTTTATTTTCATCACACATAACATATTTAATCAATTTAGTTTTTCTTCAATACTTGAAGATCCAAATTAAAATATTTATCTGAACATTTAGTGTTTTAAGATAAAAAGGTTGAAATAAAGAAGCATACAAACCGGTGCTATGTGTTGGAATGCTGGAGGAGATGTTGAAGCCACTAAGTTACTGTAACCACCACTTTCACTCCTGAATGACTATCAAACAGATGACACAGTAAAAATACATGTTAAATAAATAATGTGGAGAAGAGTCATTAAAAATAGAGGTGGTAGGTTTAAAACGTTTGCTTATTTCTCTCTCCATTTTCCATCAAACATCAATGAGCCACACTGTTTCACTGGGGGACATGTTTCTCTTCATTATGATTAATACATGTACTGTAGTTTATTTTGACTTTAACTCACACATGCCCTCCTGCTGCCAAAAATACTCCCTAGAGCACCAAATGTGTACTAATCCACAGCTGAAAGTAGTCCCCAACAAACCTACTACTATCTGTATTTATAAAAAATACAGTGCACAGCTGAGTTTTTTCACACAAACAAGTGTTCTTGTCAGGTATTTTACCAAAAACAGAATACTGCAACCTTTTACCACACAGAATAACATGCCTTAGGTTTACCCTGGTCAATTAAGCAGGTTAGTTTTAAATGCTTGGAAACATCTTCTCTCAAACAACAGAAAAGATGAGCGGTGACATTTCTGCTCTGTGTGCTCACCTGCTACAAAATGGAAAACAGCTGTTGCAGTGATATAAGGATCCTAAAATAAAACAGGGCAACTAAAGGTGGGTTTTCAGAAGTGAGTGGTCACATTATAAAAAGATAAATCTCTACTTGAATCGTAGTTTAATGAAAGAACTAACTGAATTATTTTGAAATTGTCTTTTTCTTTTCTTGTTTCATTCTGATCCAGTTAATCGATAATACATTTTATTAGCTGATTCAATTAAATGTTTGATTTTGCAATTCCCTGATCTTAATTTGCTGACTTAAGTTTTGAGCGCTCTATAAATAAATAAATATAACAAGTATCATCATATATTATATATAATTGACCTCCACATTTATTGAGTAAATATTTGAAATATGTCATGTTCCATACCCGTGCAAGGCTGACTTCATGTGCTTTATGTTGAGCGTCCTCGAGTTTTTGTTGCTGTTGCTGCAGAATTCTCTCCTTCCTCCCGAGCTGCTGCTAATTGTGACAAGAAAGATGGACGACGTGAATCTTTGTATGCGTGTCTACATCTCAGGAATCCACTGAAGTGTAAATAATAAAAGACGATACCTCATATTCACTGAGCAATTTGTTCTGTTCGCTCAGCTTGTGTTTGAGCTCTGCCTGCAAACAGATACATCAGTGTGATATACGAGCGCTCTCTCGCTCTGTCACATAAACCTGCATCCATAGGTCAAGCAGGGCATATATTATATCGTGTCAAGCGGAAATCATCATTTGTCTCACATTTTCCCCTTCCAGCTGATCTTTGGCCATGTTGGATCTCAGCAGTTCTTGCTTAAGCTGCAGCACGGCGTCCTCCTGCACTGCCAGACGCTGCTGCAGAGCATCCTAATGAGAGAGAGGGAGATCAAAGAAACGTCCGGTGAAGACCTGAATACAGAAACACTGCATCCACCTGCAACATCGACAGCACACACCCATCTCCCAACTTTACTTTGTACTGAAATGAAAAATGGATGTTGTGCGAGATCGAAACTGCAGAATCATCAATTGAGGAAGGTGGAAGAGTCAGAGTTATATCCTTTTATCTATTTTAAATTGCACACAAAGGACAATATTAGAGTGAGAGGTTTACCTTGATGGCCTGAATGTGTCGCACCTCCTGTTTGTGTCTCAGGAGTTCCCTCTAAAACACGCACAAATGCAGAGACATTAGAGAAAGGATATCTTTGCTCACAAGGCAGCTCTTCTGTTATAAACCTAATCACATTTACATTTACAGTGTATGTACTGTACCTTGAGATCAAGGGCCTCCTCCATGCTTTGGTCCAGACGACTGCGGACTAGAACCTTCAGAGGGAGAGAGTATGAGGAACATAATTAGAGGATGGAAAATTGTCAGAATGCATGAGGAGACGACGAGCCTGCACGACAGCCGCCAGCAGATTAGAGAGATTCATTTGTGCTCCTCTTAAGAGGAACGCGATCAGACAAAGGTTTCAGTCCTCTCAGGAGGAGTGACGCCGGCAATCCTCACGACAACAGACAGGCTGACACTGACACTTCACAGAGCGACGAGCAAGTGTTGTTTTCTCAAGTTAGCAGAGAGAGGGCACCTTACCAGCTGCTGTTCAGCGTTCGCCCGGTTCTCTCCGAAGCTCACAGATCCATCCTGGTCCTCCTCAGGGAGGGAGCCGTGGAGCAGCAGCGCCTGAGGACAAAAACACAAAAGCACATATAAACTGTGTATAGACACCGAGTGGAGAGACATGCAAGCAGTTGTAATTAAATTTTCATGGCAGAGACGCCTGATATATGTTTGTGTATTTTACTTGCAAATGCAGCCGGTCTTTTGTACTCGGCTGCACAACAAGTTTTTCATTTCAGCTAATCAAGCCTGTGAATTCAGTGGACTGAATCAGATTGAAATCCAATTGAAAAGCTAACAGAAGTTTACACACACACACACACACACACACACACACACACACACACACACACACACACACACACATATATCAAGCCATCCCCTGATAAACAGTCTGAATTACCCAACTTATCCCAGAGACCTTTCTAAGTCTGTTAATTATTAATGGTCATTTTTCTGTGATGTTTACTAGTTATTTAAGCCCTTGGCTGCACATAGCTTTGTTTTTTTAACACTAATTACTGAACTATTACATGTCCTTATAAAAAACAATACATTACAAAAGAACACATCACTATAAACAGTACAAATATGGGATTTATTTTGCAGCTGTGTGTTTCATATCTGATATCAACCCTGTACAGGATCATGTGAGTTTTCTCTTTTCCCTCCAAGAATAGTAATATAATAGCAATATCAATTGAAGATTACCAAGCCCATGAGCTTTAAGATCTTAAGTCTAACTATAATTCACGGTTCTGTGTATAAGTCCCTTTAAATGTGTGTTTCTCCATTGGAAAGTGACATCAGCAGCACAGCAGTGAAAGCAGAGACAGAGATATCTTTGTGGACAGATCTCATGAGAGAGTGTCACTGACTCAGAGACGGGTCTCAAAGCAAGTTCTTTTACGTCCTTATTTGTCTGTTTGGAAAATAACATTTTAGAGCCCTAATGTTTGAAAGGTCTGCGGCTCGTGACTAATGTGTCCAAAATGTACCAGTGACAATAAAGTAAAAGAATGGGCCATTATCTGTTTTCACTTTTTTCACTCGTCTCTTAAAGGGGCGGGGCAGTGGCACAACTCATGTGACACGGATACAGTGTATGACTCGGGAAGTCTTCTTAAACTTTTTTCAAGTTTTTACTGAAAACTAATTACATTCCAAATATTTCCACTCACACAAAACTTATTATAGAACTAGAGTATAGAGAGAATGAGGTGTTAATGACCCTGATACTCGAAGAGAATCGCCATTTTGTAAAATTATTGTTGTGCAAAACCCTGCAGACGTGGGCAGAGGATTTTAAGTGTGGAAGCGGGCTATAATTTCACTGAATGCTAAATTTAAGCTGCTGCCATCCTCTGATGTTCCTTTAGTCTTTGTGCCTTCTGTGTGTGTTGAGCGATGTGCTTTGTTTTTAAGTGTTCTGTCACCAGAAACTTACCTGGAGGCGGAACACCATCCTCCTGGCCTCCTGCATCTCCTTCTCCAGATGCTCCTGGTGGGCATCCAGCTGCTCCTCCCAGGACTTCTCCTCCTCCTGCCCATTGTGCCCGAGGGAGGGACACAATCCACAGAGAGACACCTCCTCTGTGATGAAGAGAGAAACAGAAGGAGATGAAGCGAGGGAGCTTTATTTTTTCTTCTGATGTTTGGATTCACTGCACAAGAGCTGACGTGCATCCAACCAACCTGCGACAGATTTCTTCTCTGTCAGCTCAGATTTGTCTTCGCAAGATTCCCCATGGTCCTCCGCCTGATCATGGACAGTCTCCTCTTTAGGGGTGTCAGTGAACTGGGCGATAACATACTCCTCTTTGGGGGAGTGAGCAGGGCTGGCGGAGCTGAGACTGAAACAGATGGTGGGCACAGGCAGGAGTGAGTGTATTTGCATCTCCTGCCAAATGAACAGCAATGAATAAGCCGAGCTGCACAAAATGGAGATATACAACTTCCCAGAGAGCACAAAAAATGTAAAGAATCCTATCAGGGCTAAATATTTTAAACCATATCTGTAAAATGAATGAGAGACCAGAACCAAAACCTGTTCAGAAAATACACAGCGAGGGCAAGAATTTGCAACACTGTCATTTTTCCAACAGGAAATTCTTCACATAGCTCGCTCCCCCTTCAGCCATAATTTCAAAACATAATGTTTATGTGGCTCCTGAAAGGCTGGATTTCCTGCAGCTTGAATGAATATACTGTGTTTTGTGTTTTCCGAGAGCATCGCTCGTAGCTCGAGGTTCAGGCCCACTGTCGTCTTCACTCTGATCTGTTTGTGGAAATAGTATACAGCCACTGTGATCTGTGACCTATGGCATTATGCATGGTGCTTTAACAGGCCATTCCGTCTTTCTCCCTCTGTCTGTGTGGAAAAACAAGCTGGCATCTGTGGAAACCGATCTAAACTGCGTGCGAGCAAAGAGAGAGAGAGAAAAGCACCAAAATTCATCGCCCTCCTCCTGAGGCTAAAACTAAGATGTGAAAAAACAAACTGTGGATTTAACTGTGGAATAAAAAGCTGCATTTAGAAACCAATGAATGTCCTTAGGGATTTGCATGGTTGGACATGTTCCTCCAATACGTGTGCCAGGATGCAAGATTGGGATCGCAACAGCATTACTCAGCAAACGCTAAATATCACCAGAGACAGTAAAACTATAATCTGTCACATGTATGTTCCCATTGACTCTATGAAATAACTGATGTATTAATTATAATGTGCAACTTCTGTCTCTCTGAACTACAACATTCACCATAAGTAAGGATAAAAACATATGTGAATTAACATTTAACACAAATTTTATACCTGCTTATGGAAGTTAATTTATTTCATATCGTGACTTTGGATTGATTCTGAATTTATTGTCACCACATAAGCTATTGATTGTATCATCAGTCTCACAATGCAATCATTTTAATATTGTGGTATCATATAACTGACCCCCGAAACACATCTTTATATGTACTTTACATGTAACATTTGTAGATTTGTACTATCTTATACATGATTGCGTCATGTATAGATAACTCTAGAGTATTTATGATCGTTGAATTTTGTTTTCAAATACTTTAACTACCCCCTATTTGGCAAAAAGAGCTTCTAGATTCACGTGCTCAACACCCTCTTTATTTTACAATCATTCCTACAGAAACTGGAATATGTGATTTTCGGTTAAAATCCCCACATGATTGGACCAATTCACCAAACTCACTCAGATCTGTTACTTTTCGCTTGTTTAGCTCAACTGTGCTTTTTTTTTAACATTTCAATGTATTAATCTTCTTGTTTGATTTATAGGTCAAATCAGTACTTTGACAGAATGTTTGTTTGGCAGTGATCATTTATATCATTCCAAGTTTTGTGCAGATGATGACAGAAATACAGAGTGTGTGGTTTGGGATCACAGGAGAGGCCTTGTGCATGTATACATGTTTTTGGTCAAGTGTTTATCATTTATCCTATTGCTTTGTGTTGCTTTGTATATCTTTATAGTATCATCATTACTGCAAATGTGTGTATTTGTTAGTAGTAGTTATTTTTCTCATGTCTACGAATCCCCTTGAAAACGAGATGAAGCAGTTTGAGGGTTTTACCTTCAAATTGTATGTGAAACACATAAAATGAAAGTATGACTAAGGCTAATCGAAATGTTTTGCAGGTCAAGTTTTTACAGTTCGACTCAAGGGGGGATGTGGATATGTGCAGCAAATCGCATGGTAATTTATGAAAAGTTGTTGAGATATTTCAGTCTGGACTCATGGTGAACCTAATGAAAGGGGAACTTTCCTTCAGGCTGCTGCATGGTTAAAGAAAAGTATATATAATTTGGTGGCCTGTAATTTGGACTTTTTTTAGTGTAATCATGTGACATTTTCAGGCTGCAATCACCACACAGAGAAACGTCTGGTAGATTGATCCTCCTCAGAAACATTCATTGCACCAGGTCATGTCTTATCAGATGCTGCTGTGATTATCCTGTTTTTCACAGAGAGGTGGCGTCCCACTAATCATGCCATTAGCATTCAGAAACCCCTAGGTCCTGTCTCAGGGTCCAGTTCAAATTCTAACTAATTTATCTTAGATGCTATTTGTTGATCGGCGGCACCAACAGAACACAGAGGTCTACATACAACATATGGGCTAAACCACAGATTTAACACTGGGATTTGCAAGAGATGAGCTTCAGTGCAACAGATTAACATCATCCAAACAGCATCAGCAGAGAGTAACAAAACATATTTAGCCCAGCACTGGACTTAAGTCCCATTTTGAGGCAATTCAAGTATTTCTGTTTTATGCTTCTTCATATTTTTATTTAATTAAAACGTAGTCAGCAGCTTTACCAAAGAAACATCTCCCCAATGCACTTCTCAGTTGGCTTTAGCTGATAAATGCTTGTGCCCTAAAGAGGTAAAATGGGTGAATATTTCATTTGTCTCAAACGTCTTAAAACATTTACAAATTTAAAAAGCATACCTTTATACTTTTCCTCTTTTCATGCCACTTGAATAATCTAAAAACCCTTTAGATTAGTGTCGAACTAATGGACTAAAATACTGCACAATAAATGTAACAGTAAATCCAGCTTCACCACAATAAGAAGAATTTGTTAAATCCTGCTTATTCATAGGTGCAATGGTATAAATAATCTAATAATGTTATTAATGATTATAAATTAGTCAGGAGGGACATGTAAATGTATGAGCATCTAAAGTATGAGTTTACTTCAACAGTTATGTTTACTTTAAAGGTAAACATAACTGTGTAGAATTTAGTGATATCGAGGGTTGAAACCGATGTTGCAGCTGAACACCCCTCACCTCACCCTCTCCTTCCAAACATGAAAAAGAAACTGGTAGCCTTTAATTGTTATAAAAACTCAAAAGGTGTTTAGTTTGTTCAGTCTAGACTAATTTAAAAAAACATGGCGGCCTCCGTAGAGAGGGTCCCCTTGGTGTAAATATAAAGTATTTAAATATAAAGGGCCTTTTCTGGGGTAAAGAAAACTACAATTCATACAATTTAGATGAAACGAACTAGAAAACATCATGAGAATTATTCTACATTAAATGTCTGCCAATAGTTCCCTTTCACCTAAATCTTACACACTGGACCTTTAAGTACTTCAAATACATTTAGCTGATAATACTTCTGTATTTGTTTTACTTATTTTCAAATGTAGTACTTTTTATGAACTTTTACATTGTTTGCAAATTCACTTGAGTATATTCCATAATAATCAATATACTCAATCCATCAGTGCTCAGCATGAAAAAACAAATAAGCAGTTAAAAGACTTTGATTTAGCTGTTCATTTTCAAGTATATGCTCATTGTGTCTAATCAGATCTTGAAAAAGATGCTGGATTTTTAGAGAATATCTTCCCAATCCAAACATTCAACCTTATTTTATATATATTTTATATATGAAAGTTAGATTGAGGTTGCTATAGCAATGGCAGCTCAGCTCTCACACACGCGCGCGCGCGCACACACACACATATATATACACAAAGGGACACACCCACACCTACCTCACTGTAAACACTGAACAATAACCTGCAGTTTGAGGAGCAGTGGGTTGCTATGGTGATATTTATTTCTAACACTAACACTCAGATGCCGATGATAAATAAAATATGTAGTGTGTTGAATCCAGGCCTTAAATCTCTCTACACTGATGCTCTCATTCATCACAGACAAACAACAGACTGTAATGTTCAAACAACAATTTTAAAAAAATCCTCTCTTACCATTTCATCTGTTTGGCTCCCATGCTGGTGTTTGCAGGATTAACCTCCCATACAGCGGCGCCGCATCTGGGTGATGGTGATGATGATGATGCCCTGCTTCCCTGTCAGGAGCATGGAGGCAGCAGGGAGGGGAGCAGCCCTGAGAGCAGCTGCAACCACAGGAGCCTCCACGTCGCACACTGTGTTCAATCACAAACAACAGCACGTTCAAATCCGCTCCTGCAACATATCCCTGAAAACACAAAAACCTCCAGATCCTAGGAAGAAGCCCTGTGCCCTCCCCATGAGGCTGCAGAGACAGAGCAGAGGCTGGAGTCTGGCTGCTGCTTCCTCACTGCTCTCACCACCAGCTCCCATTCACGAACACAATGTTTTTTGTTCCTGGTGCACGAGAACTGATGCAGCTCTTGTGCATCTCTTTTAGCCCTTTTCTTTTTTTTTGCATGTATTACCTCTGCCCTCCCTCCCTGCCTCCTTCCCTCTATCTCTCCTCTGCTCGGTCACCCTGGCTTTGTATCGGTCCTTCTTTCACTGAGCGAGGATGTCAGACATGGCTCTGTCTGCCTGGGTGTGTTTACCCTCCCCCTTCTCCCTCATTCCTCCTCCCTCCTTTGCTCTCTCCTTTCACAAGGAGGAGGAGGGATCTCTCCTCCTCCTTCCTTTCCCTTTGCTCTCTCTCTACTGTATTTCACTGCAGCTAAAATAAAGAGCCAGCACATGCATGGAAAAGGAGACATTAAATATATGTGATGAAACTTTGGTTTGTTGACTAAAATCACAGGTTTCCTGCCACAACAACAATCACACATGATGAGGTTAATGATATAGTTCGTGTCAGAATCTAAAAATAAATTAACCACTGACTTTTGTGTTTAAATTACATATTAAATCTCCATGGAACTTTATTACATAAGGTCAATGTGAAGTCATTAACATTTAATGAAGTGTTTTTTAATGTAAAATAAATCAAATAACTTGAGGGCATTTTAATCAAATAAGGTTAAAGTGTAAAGAAAAAATAATATATATATAAATATTTAACACAATTTATTTAATTATATGGCTCTCAATTGATTTGATTTATTCAAGCTAACTCAACCTGATAGAATATTTGGCAGAAGTCTGTAGAACTGCGAACTGGAACTCACAGGAAAAATTGGCTATTATTCTTTTCATTTCATACGTTGCCAAAAAACATTTCTGTCCAGGTATGGGAATAAAAGTGGCTCCTGCACCCCCCTGCAGTATTTGATGTTGGGCATGGATTAGATACATAAACCTGGAGTGGGACCTTCCAACACTCAACTGTGTTGAAACTACATCTGGGCTGAGTACAGTGTTGACTCAACACTGTACTCAGCCAAGATGTAGTTTCCAAAGAAGAAGTTGGGTCATGAATACAAGGAAGAAGTGTTCACATCAGTTTGGCAAGTTCAGTAACTTCTTGAAAAACATTTCCAGAAACTACTTCATAACGTTTTACTCTTTTGTTGTGCTCTAATTTCTATTCCTTCCAGTGTTATATTGTTTCACTATTAAAAAGACAAGGACGACCTCAGGTACAAAGCAGGGAGTCAATAAAGATTTGGCACGCCGAGATGTGACTGAGGGAATAGGGGTACAGAGATGTTTATTTTAACAGAGAGAATATTTAATTCATGTGTGGATGATATATAAGGAGTGACTTTGCTGTTCAAAGAATGGTGGGAAAGTCGTTCCACCACTTGGGAGGCGAGAAGAAAGCTGCTTTGCCACAGGGACGACAAGCAGTCGAACAATTTGTAAATCAAATGAGCTGCTGAAATAGAACAGATTGTTTGTATGGTCACCGTGGATTCTAATGGTAAATTATTATTGTGCCTGCAATGAAACAAGAGACTCTCTTCCCTTTTTATTTCCCTGACCTTCAGAATGATATGTATAAAGCACCACACACTGATAAGCCTTTGTCCCTGGGAGTCCCATTCCGTTTTCGTTGTCAGATACAATTTGTAAAGGATCTCTGAGGCGATTTAAGTTTATTGTTTGGGTAATGACAGTGGATAGGGTGAAAAATAATTACAAGTCATTCATTGTCAGTAGGCAGCTACAGTGTAAAATATCTGTGCACCATATTTAAAATATTTAAATTATCTGAAAATTGTCAAGCACTTAGAGCTCAGCTCTACCAAATGCATATCCTTCTTAATCACAGAAAATGTTCACATGAATTTTTGTTTGATTTCAATACAATAGTTATTGAGAAAAGAATTATTTAAAAAAATATAGTACTCAAATGTTAACATATCTTTTATTTATCATGTTTATGAACAAATAACAGGCAAAAAAACAAATATGTTAGAAAAATAAGAACACCAAATTATATTTGATTGCAATGCTGGCAGTAATATTCAGATCCTATTACTTGACAAAATGTAGCGGTACAAAAAAGTACTGTGTCATCATTGGTTTAATCTAAACTTGAACCACATCTTCGTTTTTATCTGTAACACTAATCTGCAATGTAACAAAAACTGTAGCCGTTATAGTAACAGTAGAAGTATGAAGTCACAAAACATGGAAATAAATAAAGTAAAAGTGTCTAGAAACTGTACTGAAGGTAAAGGTTAGATTAAATTGAGTACATTAAACTTATGTGGCACAACTTCTTCAAAACAGTTTTTACCTGTCAGGATCAATAAACACTCAAAGGACCTTGTTTTAACCAATGATCTATTTTGAGAGAAAATACCTATAAAAAGATACAGTTTTTCTTGAACGGGAATACTTTCATCAGTCAGCAGCAATTTGTGTGGAAAAACATAAAAAACAGCATTTGGTACTCGCTACTAGAGAGAGCCGGGCATATCGAAATTAAACTGGAGAGTGAGAGGAAATGAACTAAATCATATGAAGTCTAATATCGTTTTCGAAAAGAGTGACATTAAGACTGAAAACAGAAGAATGCAGCGTACAGCTCTGCTTCAGTACTCAACTGTGCCTATGTAAAATGTTCCATACCCACATATCTGTAAGGTATACTTTTGATTAACTCACATTATTTTCATTGGTATGTTTATTTAACAGTATTTATTAATTTATTTAGTTAAGAAGAAAAAGCTAATCCAGATCTATCACCACACCCCAATTGAGTCAAGTATCTGCTGTTTAAACTGTATATTTACATCTACATGCAACTTGTGTAACACATGGAGATGATGAGACCATTAGGTTTCATTGGCGCTGTCCTCAAATCTCCATTCAGCCTCCCTCCTCTCAGACTGAGTGAAATCGTCAGTTCTGAAGATTCTAATAAACCTGAATAAAACCCAAGAGACTCTCGCCTGTATTTGTGGTTCGCTTGCTGCTACTTTAAAAAGTAATGTTGTATATAATAGTCTGATTTGCTAGAGTGGGAGATGGCTAATGTATCATTGAATACACAAACTGAAATAAGCTGTTAGCAATTGGTAAACTGGCTTACGTACAATTTTGAGATACATTTTGTGCCAAGTATTTTTTACAGCACCATAATTCAAGAAAAATACCTTTTTATCACTTAGATACTTCTTAGATCAAGAATCAGTCAAATTATCATAACATTTTTATATGCTTAGGATAAAACTTGATCCATGAGTAAAAATTCACAAGACAGAGCTATAAAATGTAGGGCAGAAAATCATGAATATTTACTTTTGATTAATTTGCTGAATATCATAATTAATGGTTTAGGTTAGAATGTCTTTGTAAACTGTGAGAGTCCACATTTTCATCTATCTTTTTTTTGTTTAACAATTAATGACATGGAAGGTGTTGAAAAAACATAGATTTTCATATAAAATGCTAAAAACAATAAAGTCTAGTAAATACAGGTTGTTTATCGAGGGTAATAATACACTTCATTGGTTTACACCATATACAGTCTATGGTTTACACCTATGGCTTACACTCAGCCTGTCACATGACATGGCAGTTATTGAAAAAAAACATGTTTTGTAAATATTAAAATTGATATAAGGATCAGAAGCACTAAAATCTAGCGAAAAAGATGTGTGTCCTGTTTATCTTTACAAATAACAAAACAATGTGGTGGGTCATTGTTGAATATATCTGTGACCTCAGTGGGACCATCAGCACCAGCTCATGAAACAACGAACAACAATGAAAACTCGAGCCACAAAGGTTCAAACTCACACAACCAATCACAGCTCAGATTTACCGGCGATCTGTGACGTAGCGTGTTCTTCATTACGTATACCGGAAGAGTAAACTGACCGCCGTCCGCGGGAGCGCGCGCAGTCTGACAGGACTGGTGTTCCTCTAGGTTTATTGGTGGCAATCAAAATCAAGGTGCATAATATATATACTGTTTTTTAACTTTATCCTTTTTTGTGTGATTTTTTATAAGGAAATATGAACTTGAAGAGCTTTACATTTAACTTTTAACTGAATTATCATAATTGAGGCCATAATAGTTCATTTGATAGTCAGACATGACGTTCAAACATGCCTCTGATTTTTATATGTGTTTGATATGATCGAAAAAGAAGAAGACATTCACTTCTTTTCAAAATGCCTCTTTCATTTCTTTGATCTCTGACGGTCACACTGATACAATGTATACTGATTGACTGATCTTCAAACAAACCGAAATGCGCGTCAGTCGTGATTTTACAAACACCTTCCTTATCACCGTGGAAACAAACCCGCGTGTCGTGGTGTAACAGTTTGATAACAGCGGCTGGAGACGAACACACGCGTGGAGATACAACTGTAACAGCCTGCTCGCGCGCGCACGTGGACGGGGATGAGTGTCTGGCAGACGATCACTTTAAGACACGAAACCGGAAACTAAGTTTGTGTTTCCTCTTGAAAACTACACGTCCTCGGACACACTTAAGGAACCATAGTGAACGTGTACTGGTTGTACTTGTGTCGTGTTGTGTGGAGACACTGTCAGACGTACACGTGTTCATTCTGTAGCTCGTCCTTCAAACTGAATACCCAGCAGTGTTAGCTAGATAGCTAGCTAGGCTAACAGGCGAGTGCTCGTTCGCCGGTCACCATGTGAGTATACGCTGGGTTTTCTGCCCTGTTTGTTTACATTTCCGGTTTGTGTTCGTCCAGACTCACGCGAGGGTCCTGTCCGGAGGCAGCATGTCCAAGCAGACGCTGGGGAAGACGCTGCTGAGGAACGTGATCCGACACACAGACGCTCACAACAAGGTAAGATTCATCCATCATGTGTGAGACGAGTGGTAACAACGGGAACTGCGAGGGAAACTCCGCTGGTATCAACATCCGTTTCCAAGGGTCTGATCATAAGGGGACATGATTATTTTCAGTTGATTAGATACAGCTAACTCAAACTAATGATGAGGGCACAGCATGCAACAGAATAGGTAGCTGAGTGCAGGCTGTGTGGAGGGTCACAAGATCATGCTGGTCATTAATTTTCCTTTAGCAGAAAATATTAGGGTGCATCAAACTCTCCCAAAGTGTAAAGTTGTTATCTTCAGATTGAAACCCCCTGAAACCATCTGATTCTCTGTCCAGCCGGTGATACTGATGTTTGGCAGCTATAAGCTTGTACACAAACTAATTTGCAGATGTATCTGGGTGAAACTAATACGCCTTTAAGTCTTGGTATCTGAGAAGAACATAGATTTGTGAACTCACCATTTTATACAGGATCAGAGTTATTTCTGATCCTGGTATCAGATCATCTCTATTTAGAACCTCTGTAAATATTAGAATCCTTTTAATACTTTTGCGTTTGGTGAGTTCAAATAAAGCAGTCAGAGTATGTGTGTGTGGGCAGCTTTTAATGCACTTACTGTCATCATCCCATGGCAGATCCAAGAGGAGATGGAGATGTGGAAAATGCGAGACTACGAGGTCCATAGGTCCCAACCCAAACATTCATCAGACACAGTGTGTGTGAGGTAGGAGCCGTGATTGTCCCAGTTTAATTCGAGCCACCTGCACCGAGTTACCCAAACGCTCATAGAGGAGCATCTTTCATAATGTAGCTCTCACTTCAGAGAGCCATTGCTGTGTGATGGCTTATCTACTAACAGCGGTTGTATTGTTAGGGGGAGTATGCACTGTGATCGAGGGGCAGATCAAACTGGAGACGTGAGGCGTAGCAGAGAGCGAGTCTCAGAACACGACGACAGAGAGGCTCGAGACTGGACACGCAAACTGTATGAATTTGAGGCCAAAGACCCTGACAGGTACAGTATATGGTCTCATGCTCTTTTCAATAATACTGAAGTCATTCTGCAGAACCTTCTGCAACTAATTCATTTGTATCACAACACAGATGGGGACACAGTGGCTTCAAGGAGCTTTATCCTGAGGAGTTTAAAAGTGGCAGGTAAGAAAAAATGCTGCATTGTACCAATAAAGTCAAAGATTTTAATTGAGCTACACACGCAACTCTGATTTTAAAGGGGTAGTCCAGGGAACTAGCATCGTACTTTCAGAAAATTGTGTGTCACAAAAAAAGAAAAAAATCTTGAGTAGATCCTTCATTTCCCATAATGCACCTAGTTATGAGTTTCCTATTTGTAAATAATGATCACTTCTGACAAAAACAAATATGCACCCATCACATTATTTAACGACCGTAGTTCGTATCATGAAACTCTAATTGATTATATTATACAGTTTAATATGTTTGTTGGGGTCATAAACATGGGAATGACTGCATTCAAATTCTATTCTAGCCTATGATTATTTTTTTGTGTCAACAGATCTACCAAGAAGCTTGGACGCCACAAAATGAAAAAGTCCAAGTCTGACACAGAAGGAAGCCTATCAAGACACTCCAAGAAATCCTCTCGAAAGACCAAAAAGAAAAAGAAGAAAAAAGACGAGGACGTTAAGCGAAAGAAAGCCAAGTATTCGAGCAGCAGCGACAGCAGCGGTGACAGCAGCACCAACAAAGACAAGCAGGGGAGGAAAAGGACTAAGAGTCGACACAAAGACAAGAAAAGTGCAAAAACCAGAGGGAGAGACGATGACAGCAGCTCAGGGGGCAGTGATGATGGAGAACGAAAGAGACGGACTCACAGTCGCAAAAAGCGAAAACAGGACTTCCACAAAGACTCTGACTCAGGTCTGAATTTAAAAAAGAGGAGGAAAAACTGGAAAGCAGCAGGTGAGGGGAGCTCAGATGATAGTTCTGCTAACTGAGATTCACGGACGAGGACAGACAGAGCTCAGGTAATGAGCAGGAAAACTACTGCGGATTCTTCTGCTCCTCTTAACTGCACAGAGGGCTTCTCTCTGCAGGGCCGTTCTGTATTGTACTTTGTTAGACTTCAACAAACCTGTGCTGTCAGCCCTCTCCCAGGGTGTTCGCTGTAGCAATATCTCATCACCTCTGCAGTGGCTTGAAGCACATTACGACAGCACAGGCGGCGTGAGGAGAGATGGTGGGGTATCCACCACCTGCCTGATGAAGAATGCTACTGGCTGCAGGCTCATTGATTTATCACCATGTCTCTGCTCAGTCTGTCTCACATGAAGAACCTCTGTCCTGAAATGACCACCGACGTTTTTTAATTTAAAAAATGAAAAAAGTAAATGCAACTTTTCTCACCAATTATGATAGAATGTGCATTTTCTTTTATTCATTTTCTTTTCAATTTTAATATTTTGATCAAGCACATTATCATGGGTGAAAAATAAACATCAAATGTGCTGTTGTTTTTAAAATGGTTTTGTTATTTAAAGATTGTGCAACACACGGACATCATAGATCTTAGGGACTGTACAAAAACTAATTGTTTTGATTGACTTGATTTATTAGTCAAATTAAGATTTTTGAATATTTTTTGAAACAAATCTTATATTTATAAATTGTTAACAGATCAAATAGACAGCTTCCACTTTCTGTGAAGGTGCAGCCACATACATAGGACAAACATTAATAACTTTAGGGTGTTACTTTCTTTTACAAAGGGGAAACACAAGGTTCAAACGTCTGTTGTTCAATTTAAAATAAAACCACATTAATGAATCACAGTGTTGCCCTGGCTGTCATGTACCGTCATTATACTAAACATAGACGCTGTCGTTTATTTTGAGCTGATCCCACATCCACCGCTCTGCTGCCACAAGTTCTCATTCGAACACCAAATGTGTATTCATTTAATAAACGGAGATGAAAATAGTTCCAGACAAATGCACAATTTCCTCCTGTTTGAATAATGTTTTTCCTGCACTGCAGCAGTGGCTGAAGGAAATGGACTCTTTTTAATAATAAATAAATCCATGTATTCATGACCCTTCCTGAAAGATTTGTGCAGCGTGGGGTTAATTGTGCACAAATAAGTCGACAGAAGTGAGAGATAAATCAACACGTTAATTTTGGATTCATGTTTTCTTTTGATTTGTTGACGACAACCTCTTTCACACAAATTATTGTATGTGTTACCACATGTACAGCTCTGACATTATCATTGGATTCCTGAAGATACTATAGAGTAAATCTGAGAGCCTGTTTCCACCGGTCAGTTTACTTCCGTGTAGTGTAATGAAATGGCAGTGTAAGTCCAGATAACAGAGTTAATAATTCACAATCTGAGATAACCTGCGGAATTAGGGAAATGTTGATGTTGTGACTTTTTAATTAGTCAGGCTGTTTGTAAAGAATTAAACGGAGGACGCTGTGGATCAGTGATGGCGCTGCAGTCCCTGTTTGAACATAGACGTCTGTTCAATATGCAAAAGATATATAGTATCTTAATAAGCTGCCACGCATGTTAAACAAATGTAAGGATATGTGGCTCTTTGACAGCTAAACCAGAAATGTAATGTCTACCAAGCTTCAATATTTCCATAAATGGCCCTGAACAAATTAACCTCATCGCCTGCGTCGCTGGTTTCTGGTTTCATCCTGTCGCACTTGGTAAATGGGGTAATAAGCAGTAGCCCTGTCCCATCTGGGTTTTCTTTTTTTTGAGATAATCTGATGCTGAGTAAGTGCTGGTAAACCATACTGAAAGGGTGTGTGTGTACTGGAAAAGCCTGAAGCACTTTGCTAAGTCTGTGTCAATAGACTGAAGTGTTTTTTTTCTAAGCAGCTGTGTGGGCCGAGTTGAGCTTGGCTCCAACTGCCCGAATCGTGGAAGAGGAAAAACGACAAAAAAAGAATCTTCTCGTTGAATCAGTGTTGATGGAAACAGATTCTCAAGACTAAACAGCATCTGGCAAAAGAGAAAATCCATGTTTGATAGCTGCATATCTAGATAGGAGAACTTATTCAAAAAAGAACTATTAAGAAAACAACTTATAAATAGCATTTTTGGCTCTGGGTGTTTTCATGTCATCAGTACATCATTATGCTAAACTAATGGCATCATTGTGGCGCTGCTAATGTGGATAGAAACATAGAGCTAGAATTTTCATGAAATATTGGAGACATTTATTTTCCCTCAGGGTGAATTTGAATAACTTTGGTCCTTTGTGTTTAGTGCTAATTAGCAAATGTTATCATGCTAAACTTGTAAACATTACCTAGTAAATATTTTCTGCTCAACATTGGTGACAGCATTGTCAGTTTGAGCATGTTGGCGTTATCATTCTGAACATTTATGTTACAGCCTCATTAAACCCCTGTAGCATGGCTGCACACTTAGTCCTGATTGGGAGACTGCAAACAAAAATACAAATGTTCATGCTTGTGTGCCTTGCAACACTATAAATAATGAAATATTTATGTGCAACTTTACGTTTTGCTAATATCTGTTACACCAGGCTCCTCAAACAGATGAAATAAGAGCTGCGTTAGGAAATAATGTGCTTCTACAATTGACAAAATCCAATCGTAAAACAAATCTAATTTTGTTCGTCTCCATTTTATATTTGCCGATAAGAAAACAGATTACAGAAATTAAGCGGTATTTTATATAACAAAAATAAATCTAAATAGAAGAAAACTTGCAGGGTCAGCACACTGAGGAATGAGAAAAAATGGTGATATTGTGAATCAGTGAGCACGATGGGTAAGACGTTTATACATATTAACACCAGGTTCACTTTGAAGTTTTCAAACACATACAGTATTACTGTGAGTTAAACATATAATGGGATCTTCAGTGGAAAAAACCCCCAACATACACCTAGTCAAGGCACATATTTTTTTGCAGTTACTCAGAACTGCTGATGAGACACAACACACTATGCTCCATCCCCAGTGTTCACTAGTTTGGCTGTCTGGGCCAATTTCATAGCCTGGGTGATGTCTCCTACCTAAGCAGATTTTGTGTTGAATAATGGCTACAGATAGGAGCAGGCAGAAATACCTCTCCTGCTGTGATAAATGGTCAGCAGCGCATTTCCAGAGCAGAAAGCATCAGCATTTAATGAGGAGATAGATGAACGGACACAGCCGAGAGTTTACACCCTAAAGTGAAGTATTCTCCTTGCTGAAAAAAGTGAACAGATTTGGCTGGAACCTGGTAAACAGAGATGAAGGAAAAGAAAAAACGATGACCCCATTCTTCGACTCATCCTCTCTGCCACTGAGGATGCAAATAGCAGAGTCAAGAGGATTGAAAAGCTCCAGTGTGACTTATCTCTGTGTAGTCCACGCCGCTGTGTTTGATCTCAGCCTGTTCTAAGTAGCTGTAATCAGGAGGACAAGGTGGTTTCTACAGCAGCAAACAAATATCCCTCCTCCACCCTTGACTGTATCTGTTCCTGCTGTCAAGCTTATCATCATCTCCTACATTTAGCATTTATATGCAGTATAAATACAATTAAAAATGCTTTATAACACACTATACTATAGTTTTACACATTACATAGGACATGTTAAGTGTTTAAAAATGTATTTGTCATGAAAACTCCTCTTATGAGGCATAATGTCTATAACACATCCTCACTGCAGTCTACATGTAATTAGGGACCCTACAGAGCTTTGTGTCCCCCTAGTGGTAAGCACCCAATGGTACACCCTTGTAAAGAAGAGCAGGCTGCATTTGAATTCAGCGTCGCATCCTCCAGTTATACCCTCGTCACCCCACACCCCCACTCTGCTCAGCGGCCATGGTGCAGCTTTCACCGAAGCCTTATAAATAGTAACTGGCAAATATAATATTTATCGTCTCAACTCGTGCGTCCCTTCCTGCAGTGGACACAAATACCACTGGCCCCGAAGCACAAGAAGGAAACACCACTCATACAGTTAACCCACACAAAAAATTTAATACCCTTCGCGAGGGGATAAATGGTCCAAACTTTGACATACTAAATAGGGCGAGGTGTGATGACACAGGTTTTTAATGTAAAAACTTGCAGCCAACACCCAAATGCTTTGTAAAAAGTCATGTGACATATGACTTACTTACTTACATAGTTAGTACACATACACCAATGTTTTAATATACTTATATATGTCTTTTTTGTTTGTTGTCTTTTTATCTAGACCAGCCAGATACAGTACCGATTAATATACAGTCACATCTGGAACAATACCTATTAAACATCATATAGTCCCACCGCCAGAGAGGAATCCATGGCAGGTTTCCAGGTCCGTCCTCTCTGCGCTAACATTAGAAACTGGCATGTGTAAAATTCTCTTCTCTTTTTTCATTATTATTATTATTATTGTATAGACTGGTGGTGATACTTGTCCTTGTATCTCGTGTCTTCTGTGCAAAAGTTTTTTTCTTTTTTTCTTTTGAAAGAACCCAAAACATGATTGACATAACAGGATACCTGGCTGTTCACTTTACAGTTATGATGAATTTTTTGTCTTTTTTTTTTTAAACAATTAAACAGTTACATACATCCAAACGCCACACCCCCTTGGCATGTCACAAAAAATTATAAATCCAAAGTAACGCTCCCCATTATCACGGTGGGAGGCAATGATAAGAGAGGAAGGTTTATGACTACAGTGAGCAGCATCCTCCATTCGTACATCTTTTAGAATAAGGCACTGCTGCATAAAGAAAGGACATGGCCAACAAACCTCTCTGGGAGTATGATGGGGAGGCAGGATGAAGGGAGAATGTTCTTCTCCAGCAACTCACAGAAAGTTCTCATGTGTAAGTAAATGTGCTTGTGTTTATCGTTTGCAGGAAAAGTGTGCATCATATGGCATGTAGGTTTATTTGTGTTTTTACACATGTATGTCTGCGTGTGTGGCTGAGTCGTGCTTCAGCTACACTGTTCTCCTCAGACTGTGCTCTCGAGCATCCACTCAGTGCTGCTGAAGGTAACTCTCCGGTTGGCGAGCGGAGACGACTCCACGTTGAGCTGGTTGGTGGACTTGTGCCACCTCGTCCTCGCTCTGCGTGGGTAACTATGACTCTGAAATATGGAGTAGTCCCCACCGTCAAAAGAGAACCTATGCCTAGTTCGTGCCAGCTCGTTGGGAAGTAAACCCATGTTAGCCAGGGCATTTTTCTTGTCCTTGAGCCTGGGAGCCTCCTTGGTGCCGGCGCTGGGACCTATGAGACACAGGGACATGGTGGAGCCTGTCAGGCTACTGTCTGTCTGCGTGTCCTCAGACGGGGGACCAGAGCGCTGTGCGTCCAGGCTGGTTCTTCTCTTCAGCTTGTCTGCAGTCAGTGGAGGCAGCTCCACCTCCAGGATAGCAGTAGTGGCAGCTGGATCCTCCTTCTTCTCATTGTCCACCCTCAGCACCAGCGCCATACACTCTTTGGGCACCTGGGCCTGGCCATCATCAGAGGGCTGCTTGGAGACGGAGCGCTGGAGACGCTGCTGGCTGCCATTGGTCTGGGAGTGCATGCTGGAGCTGACCTTGTTCTTGCTGTCCTCTGGGCTGCTGTAGGCCTTGTAACGGATCATCAGGATGATGATGAACACCAGCACTGAAGCAACAATTATACCACCGATAATGATGATCATAGTGCCTCCCAGGAACTGGCTGTGCATGAAGCGACACTGGCTGACCTCACTGGCTGTGTGGAACTGCACGCAGCCAACCACACGTGTGGCCGTTAATGATGTGATGCCGTCGTCATAAACCGCCAGCACACAAAGGTCATACTCCCGTCCGGCGGCCAGATCGTTGATTAAGAAGTTCTTGCTGGTGGATGGGATCATTCTGCAGAGGAAGAAACATAGAGCGGTGGTGAAGACACAGAGGATTAATCATCGCTATTACAACGCCCACATTCACTGATTTGCATAAGGTGTATTAAATCACACAAAGGTGTCCGTTCCACACAACAAAAAGACAACAGGGCCATTGCAGCTCTAGCATTAAATATCACTCATTCTGGGTGATGGGCATAAAATGCACCATGCTCCATTAAAGCTGACTTATGAGGGAGTATGTTACATTATAAAATAGAAATGAGAAGTAGCTCTATTGGACTTGTGTATAAAATGACAGTGAAAGGTAAACGTCAAGGTGATAAACAAGGTAGAAGTGTCTAAAGAATATGCCACAGCAGCTGGCAGCTGCAGGACAAGTGATGCATGACGTGAAGGCAGTCTTGATGTGTGAATACCTAAGGTCACATTTTGTCGGCAAGTGTGAGATTACGCGACTCTAAATAGGAAGGAGAAAGGCATTGTCTTCAGGTCAACACTGGCGTTAATATAATTAGAAGCTTGTTCCTTTTCCCTAAAGGGAAACTTTGATGGTTATCATTTGTAGGTAATAATGTACCACCTAAAGACAAAACAACACTCAGCTCCGTGCCTAAACTGGATGAGAAAATTATACAGGAGAGCAACTCATTATATCTGATAAAACCTAAAAAAAAAGAAGGGAGTCGACCACATAATTAACTCGCTATATAAATACATAAATCCTTTTAGATTTGCATTAAGTGTGTCACATATTGCATAAGAAACACACAAAATTAAGTCTGATATTTAATCTTAAGGTTTGCTAATAGTTGTTTATACTCATCATTTTAAAAAGTGAGCTCATACTGCGTAAGTATTCTCATTGTAACTAAGCGCCATCCAAGCGCATTATTCACTTTTTCATTTTCTCAATGGAAGCGTTTTGCATATTTCATGGTAGATATATATATATATATGTTTATATTGACCTTGTCCTTGCTGCAACCAACCATCAGTACAAAATCAGTACATTTTTCATTTTATTCTGTACCCATTAATCCACAGCATTCAATTTACAGCTACATATAACCAGCTGCTTTTCAGATTAAGATCTTACAAGCAAAACATGTGAAACAATATGTTACACTGTTATTGATTCAACATTTACACATAAATACGGCGTAAGAATGATCCAGTGATTATTAACACTGACAGGAGCCATTCTGCAAAGCAAGAACATCTAAATTTCAATAACATTTTGTTGCTAATATTAAAGCCGTGATGGAAAGTACATTTATTCAAGCACTGTTGTAAAGCACAATTTGTTTTCCTGTTTTCTGATACTTGGGATTCACTACATTTCAGAGGTAAACTACAAGGGCGCATACCTCCACCAAGGCTAAGGTCCTATCTCGCCCGTTTATCTGAATCCACTCATTCTTCCATGGGTCATGCACCTCTCATCTATAAAATGTCATGGAAATCATTTCAGTAGTTTCTGAGTAATGATGCTTAATAAAAACCAAACAAAAGCTGATGAAAACATAACCGCCTTGGTGGAGGCAATAATCTACTTAAGCTCTGAAAACTGTGATTACTAGTTATATGTAAATAGAAAAACACATGATAATGATGTTAAAAATCAAACCAGTGCGTCTCAACATTCTTAGCTATATTTGCATTGTTGTGTTGTCCCTGGTCACATTTCAGATACAGTAACTTTAGGTTGTTATCAGCATCAAAGATGGTTTCATTCTCAGAGGGGTTTCTTTTATATTTTAAGCCACAAAGAGATAAAAGTTGCACAATATTATCATTTTGAAATAATACGCAGATCATTTTACTTGCTGTTAGTCAATGATCTGAATACGACCACTACAACCAGGCCCATCATTAGACAACCACATCTAATCACAGTCTGTGTTGTAACCAATTAATGCAGACACTTGCTAATGATATAAACAGAGACATGCAGTGAAATAGTTGTCCTTGTGTTATTGTTCATTGTCACATCATGTTTTAATGACGCTGACAAGGCCCTTTAGTCCTAATGTTTGGCTCCACAACTGATTCACACAATACACTTCAATTTCAGAGTGAAATTTGTTTACTAAATCTATAAATATCTTAATTAGACACTTTTGTATATTAAAAAACATTCAGTTGTATTTTAATTTATGGAAAAATATTCTTCACTGTACACTGTCAGGGCTCTACTTATTTTTGGACATACTTCATCTTTTTTCATCTTTGGGATACTTCAGCCTGTCTTAGTGGAGCGTCATGTCAACAGATGGTACCTCCAGATGTCTCACCTTTCCTTGTTCCCTATTTTACTACCCTCCTCTCCCTCCCTCCCTCCCTCCCTCCCTCCCCCCACCCACTCCACCAAGGCTTACCTGTACACCAAAGTATCATCTGCCGAGCTGTTGTACTGAATCTGGTACATCCTGATGCCGGGGATATGGCGCTCAGATGGCCAGCGGATTACAGCGGAGGAGGAGGTCAGCTCTGTGACCATCACCCTCCTGTCCTGCTTGTCGTAGCCCTTGGTGTCGTTGCCAGATTTGGAGGAGGTGGTGATGTCTGAGAGTCCGGGGTCCTCGCGCATGTGGCCCGTGTTGTTAACAAACAAGGGTAAGGGGATCATGTTGATCTCAACAGCAGCTGTGGCGATGCCTGCAGCATTGGACGCCACACAATTAAATGCTCCACTGTCCTTCAGCGTGGTGATGAGAATATCAAGGGTGCCATTATCATACAGGATGGTACGGGAATTATTATGCACCAGCTTGCCGTCTGGTGACCTCCAGTGAATCTCTGGGTCTGGATCACCCACGGCTTTGCATTTCAGAGTCACACCCTGCCCCTCCATCACATAGGGCTTAGTGGTGAGATGTTTGGTGATCAATGGGGGCTCACAGATAAACTCCTCCTCTTGGATGGACCAGAAGTATTTGTCCATGAGGTGTTCCGGTGAGGCGCATGTCTCCAGATCGTCCTCTCTTGTCAGCCTGCGGAGCCACAGCAGCTCACAGTTACAGTGGAGGGGATTCCCACCAAAGCTCACAGCCAGAGTGGAAGAGCTGGAGCCCTTGGTGTCAGACAGTACCTGAGCGTGCTGGAACAAGCTGTCTGGTGGCAGCTTCTGCAGCCTGTTTGAGGTCATGTCCAGGCGGACCAGCTTGGTGAGCAGCGTAAAAGTCCCCGCTCCAATGTGATCGATCAGGTTGTGGTCCAGTGTGAGCGTGTTAATGTTGGTCATTCTGGCTATGGCTTCCCAGGGAAGACTGCGCAGATTGTTATTGGAAAGATCCAAGTCCTCTACGGTCGCAACAAACTCATCAAAGGAGGTGGGGGCCACTTGGTGGATCTGGTTGTTTCCGAGGATGAGGTGCCTCAGGTTAATGAGGCCCTTGAAGTGGTCGGTCTTTATCGCACTGAGGCGGTTCCCATCCATGTGGAGCGCCCGCAGGGATCGCAGGCCCAGAAAGGCGTGGGGGGTGATCTGGCTAATGGTGTTGCGGGACAGAGTGAGGTGGACCAAACTAGTCATGTTGAAGAAGTCTTTCCTGCGGATGATGGTGATGAAGTTGTCCGTGAGCCGCAGCTCGACGGTCTTGCGGTCGATGGTGGGGGGCACGAACAACAGGCCGGTCTTAGCACAGAGCAGAGTCAGAGTAGGGGAGAGGTGCTGGCAGATGCAGCGGCCGGGGCAGCTGTAACCCTTCACCAGAGCTGCACACAGCAGCACGCACAGAACCAGCCGCTCCATCGTTGATCAGTGTCCAGGTCCTGTGCGTGAGACAGAGAGGGAAAAAAGGAGAGACACTGAGTGAAAAAAAAAAAAAAAGGAGAGCTTTGCATTAATAAATAGCATCATGGGCTTTATGAGAGCCTGCTGCAAAAAACCCACAGTCTGACCAAGATTGCTGAGGCTGCCAGCAAGGTATCAATCACAAAATGAAATGGAGCTTTTCTGAAATAATGGCACCTGGGATGATGAAAGGCTGCGCCAACACTGTCAGAAGCTCATGTCTCTGTAGCCTTATAATGGAAATAACAGAAACATTTTTGTGCCACCAGGCTGCATCACTACTGAACCATATAATTTCTTGAATGATAACACGACAGTTTTCCCATATTAGGTTTCCATCCAACGTGTGTGCATTTCCATCACATTAGACCTGTGTGTTTTCCTCACTCTGAGTTCCACACCAGGGCAGAGGATTAAGAAAAGGGCACTTGTCAGCAGCGGTCAAGGATTTTTATGACCTTTTAATTCTCTCTGCTCTCCCAATTCTTCTGAGACATACTGCAAAATTAGACAGAAACCTGTCATGTAAATCACAGCAATAAAAAGTAAAGGTGAAAACAGCACAGATGCAGCTTGTTTTTTCCAGCCCATCCAATGGAGACATTATTGGATGATTCTGGGGTTTGGAGGATGTTCTGATTCTCTGATTCCCCTTTAGAGGTATTGATTTCAGTCTAGAGGAGAACACGCCTGTGGTGACAGGGGTAAAAAGTGATCCTTGGCTGTAATAACCATCAAAGACCCCAGTGGAGCAGCAGCAGTGATGTGCTGATGCCCTCCTTGGCATCCATCTTCATTGGTAACGCCTTAAGCTTCACTGTTGATGAGAGTACCTGTTAACACTGACAAATTAAAGAGATGACAACTGACTTTTCTTTTCTAGGTTTAGACAAGGACAGACGGGTAGAGCTGCAGCCTATCACCTCATCCAATCCCACAGGGCGACAGTTCTCATACCCTTCAGATGCAATGTTTCAATCAACAGCAATGTCTCTTTTTCAGAGGTCACCCAAAATTATTTCAAATGCACTCGAGAAAAGCTGGCCGTGGATTTCAAACAAAAATAGATAGTAGTTGTCTGTTTTTCAGCAATTTGGATGCACCGTCCAATTTGTCATGACTTATGTGAGCCTTTCTATCTATGTTCCACGAAACTGAGGGGGTGCTGACGTCCTTAATGCCACTGACTCCATCCCCCATGGTGCCCAAACTGCAAAAGCATCAAATGCTCAGAGTACCAATATCACTTGATTAAACTCTTTAAAAAAAAAAGCCTGTGATGATAATATTTTCAATGTCACATGTCCAATTTCATAGAAAAGTATAATCCAAGCTCTCTTCCTCCCTCTCTCCTCAGACTTGTATGTATTTGTATGTTGTGCACACTTCTCAAACCTAATACCCTTGGCCTGATGCGGTTGTTATGCATGTTCAAGATAGTGAGACAAGTGAGAAATAGTCAGCGCACTGCTGTCGTCTTACAAACTTAGTTACATTCGCCACCAGCAATGGAAATTCTCAGTCGTTTATTTCCTTCTTTTCACTCTCTTATAAACACGCACATGCACACAGGCCACTGTCTGACAGACTACAGGGCCTCTCGTTAGCTACAGATGCTGCTGTCCAATCAGAGTGCTCATTAAAAATCTGGGTTCGTATGATGATTTTCTGAAGGAAGTAGAACAGCTTGAAACACAAGTTCAAACCAGCGGGATAGTTTGTCAAAGATTCAATCAACAGTGACAGAATTACTTCCACTCTGTCTCGACCATTCGAAAAGTTAAACTTTTGCTCGGTTTGTGTTTTTATTCCCCTCCCTCTTTGTTGTGACTCTGCAGGCGCGGCTACAACCTACGTTTCTGAGGCAGAACCACCTTAACTGTTTGAAATCGGAAAAAAAGGATTTGTGCTGTGCAATTTATTCTACAAAGAATATACAAACAAGATAATGAACACGCACACATAGTTATTGTCTGTGTTCACTCATTTATAGTGAGGTTAAACCATTTACTCATACAAAGACACACACTAGGTGGTACACTGAGTGAGGAAATTTCCAAACCCCAAGAGAGAATTTATTTATTTAACAACACTCCTTTATTGTTGGCAGCACAGCGTGCCTGTCGTGTCTAAATTAATCCTCCAAATTCCCTTTGTTAAGATACCGGGAATGTAAAAACGACAACAGGGTTTCTGCAGGGTTCAACGAGTAAAAGTTAAGATTCTCTTTTTAATTCCACACTGTGACTTAAATGTTCAGTAAGTAAGATATAGGTGAAAGGAATCGATTTGGCAGAAATGGAATATAAAATAATCCTCAAGATGTTTGAAGTGTGTGATCACCCGAATGTACAAATCTTTTATATTCATTGCACCGTTTATATTAAAATAGGGCAATAGTTGTCCTCTCTCTACGGAGGCCACCATGTTTTTTTACAGTCGTCCAAACTGAACAAACTAAAAACCTTTTGAGTTTTTATTTAAAACTGAAGGCTATCACATGTTCTATCTCATGTTTGTACGGGGAGGGTGAGGTGAGGGGTATAACATGCAACCTTACCACTAGATGTCATTCTATAAACTGAACCTTTAATACCGGTTTCACAATCGTTGTGGCCAAAGTATAAATGCACAGCAGCAATGATAGTCTTGAATCTGGACTGGAAGACAATAGATTGATACAATTACCAAATAAAACAGTTCATTCTTAAAACATCTTCAGTAACTGATAATTCATTGAAAAGAAGGTTGATTGGCAACGTTTTTGATTGTCAGTTCATCATTTCAGTAATTTTTAACCAAAAATGTCCTGATTTTAGCTACAAAACAGAAAGATAGTTCCCTTTTCTATGATCGTATATGACAGTTAAATGAAAAATAGAAAGACTTATTTAACAGTATATTTAAACTTATTTTTTGTAGGATATTTTGTTTTAAAGTAACTAAATTAAAAGTTTTATTTAAAACTGAATACAGGTCATACTTCCTAAAAAATAGATTCCTTTGGATCTACTATACAGGAGAATAGGATAATTTCAACAGTGCCCAGATTGGTTCAGATCTAATTTCTTTACCCAACCTTGTTAAATTTCAATATAATAGTGCTGGATTATTTTAATAGTATTCACATGGTGACTATGCCACAAAGCTCTTGGTTTCTCAGAGGGCCATCTGTGCCAGAGCATGTCCTGCCACACCATCGAGGATACTTTATTGATCTTTCAGCATCTCAGGGAGTGGAGGGGGAAACTTTGTTGCCACGGCAACTCTGGTGCAGAATATGGGCCTTTGAATTGCATTAAGATGATGTCGAGCTGCCTGAAAAGCGGAGCGTCAACCTTAATGGTGTGCCGAGGAGGTAAGGAGGGACGTGAACGGATGTCTGAATGGGCGAGTACATTAAAAAGAAAAGGGCAGCTCCACCTCACATTTCTATTTCTGTTTTATTGCTTAGTATTAGTGCCGGCTGCCAAATCGATACGTAGACAACGGGGGGGGAGCACAAGGTGAACCGGAGTCAAGGTTTGTTTTTGCATCCAGTGATGCAGGAACACAAAGGCCAAATTAGAGGGATTATATAGACACCTATATTCTAACTAAGAGAAGCTTTGATTTACATTGTGTTGTATTTAGAAAGAAAAAAGTTACGGTACAATCACACATTTGCATACACCCAAGATATACAGTGATACCCATGACACACACTGTGCCAGCCTAACAGTGAATATATATTTTACCATTAAGAAGACAGAAGAAAATTGTCTCCATATTTACATAGAAGCCTAATTCTGCAGTACAAGGCATGTGCTGTACACATGGGAACATTGCACAGCTGCCCACACACAAACACAGGAGACTACATGTAAAAACACAACTATACATCTAAGCAACATGCAAACAAACAACAAACAAAAGAAAGGAGAATAAATTAGCACTTCAAGTGTCTTGGCTGATACTGTGATTTTATACCTGTGTTCTCAAACATACTGATGATTTTCTTATTGGTTCACACACACACACACACACACAATAGGGCTCTGTTCAAATAGTACACCGCAGCAGGTGCTTGTGCAAATCCTTAAACAATCAGATGCTCACTTAAACATGAACTAAGAGAGTCCTGAATAATGCAGCGTGATTCAAATGAAAACTGATAGACGCTCGTCCTCAATCTGAATGTGCAACACCTTTCTGCCGCAGCACTCCCAACGCAGGATTCAGTTTACATATTAAACAGGGCGAGCAGCTGTGGGGACGATAACGCATCTCCACAACTTCGAAGAAAGTCAATTTTTCTTTTAGCAGCTAAATGAAAAACAAGTTTTGCTTTTTCCCCCCACCTGCTTAGTTACACCCAGATACTGCGGTGCGACCGCTGCATTAACAGCCCTGGAAAATTTTAATTAGGGCACCCGTGAATTCTCCAGGATATTCTCATGATTAAATAACCACAGAGAAGTAATGTTTTTTACAGATTGAACAACTGACGACAAGTCATAAATCATGGAACTGTCAAATGAGGAGCGCTGTACAAATTAAATTCTGGGAAATTCTGAAAGTTTTCCTCTGTTTCATTATATTTTTAGAAAATCAAACAATTTGTGGAAAATAATCTGCAGGTTAGTTTATAATGTAAATAATGCTGAGTGGAAGCCCATCATCACAATTACACGAGTTGAGGCTCATGCATATTTTGAATGTGACATTGAAAATAGTAGCAGTATACAAACAATGAAAAACAAAAACATCTGCCCAGAGCAGGTGCGTTGTAGTAATATTTTCTGGACATGACATTGTCAGGAAGCCGTAAATGCCAATTAGACGGTGCAGGCGATGAACTGCGAGCTGCCCTTGTGTGACTCTTGTCAGGATGCAGGCATAATTATTGACAGGCAGAGTTCATCAGAGTCAGCTCCATCTCTACCAGCGGACGCCTTAACGGAGGCTCCGCAGCCCTGGGGGATCTCTGGTTGCATAT